AGGTCAGCTCGCAGAGGCAGTTAAGTCAAAGGATGTGGTCATCATAGGTGACCTAAGCTATCCCGACATTTGCTGGGAAGAGCAGTCAGCCAGGACTGACCGCTCACGTAAGTTCCTAGTCAAGTTACAGGACCTCCATCTAACCCAGGAGGTGCACAGTCCCAGCAGGTGAAAAGCCTTGTTAGACCTGGTCCTGGCCACAAGCAACGACCTGGTGAGGGGACTGCAGGTGCTTGATCACCTGGGCAACAATGATCATTGCTTATTGGAATTCACCATCCAGCGCAGGGTGTCAAAGGCCTGCAGCAAGGCAGCAGCCCTGGACTTCAGGAGGGTGGACTTCAGTGAGCTAAGGAAACTAGTCGGGGAGGCACTGAGGTCCCGGAGGGTTGGGGACTTGGGAGTCCAAGAAGAGTGGTCGTTCCTGAAGGAGACGATCCTCCAAGCCCAAAGGGTGGCAATCCCAATACGGATCAAAGGGGACAAGAGTACTCAAAAGCCCCCATGGCTCACCAAAAGCATACAGGAATGTCTCAAAGCTAAAAAAGAAGCATACACCCAATGGAAGGGAGGGGCCATCACCAGGGAGAACTATACCTCCATTGTTCAGGATTGTAGGGGGGCTGTTAGGAAGGCCAAGGCGGAGATGGAACTGGGACTAGCGACCCGGATCAAGGATAACAAGAAATCCTTTTTTAAATACATAGGGGGTAAAAAGAAGGTACCGGGTAACGTAGGACCTATGCAGGACACACTAGGAAATCTGGTGGTCTCACCAGATGACAAAGCTAACCTATTTAACTGTTTCTTTGCCTCCATTTTTCTGAGCAGGGACCAGGTCATCCCCCCTCACTGGGATCCCTGATGGTCCCAGGAGAGGCACAGCCAGGCCCAGGGTCAGTAAGGACCGAGTCAGGGAACTTCTGGTGGGACTGGATGTGTTCAAATCAGCAGATCCTGATGATCTCCACCCCAGAGTGCTGAGGAAATTAGCAGAGGTCATTGTGGGACCCCGGCACGGCTTTTTGAGCGCTCGTGGTGCTCTGGCAAGATGCTGGAGGACTGGAAAAGGGCCACTGTGGTCCCCATTTTCAAAAAAAGGAGGAAGGAGGATCCAGGAAATTATAGGCCTGTTAGTCTTACCTCGGTCTTGGGGAAGCTCTTTGAGAAAATTATCCAGGACCACATCTGTGAGGGGCAAGCAGGGAAGCGTATGCTTAGGGGCAACCAACATAGGTTCATTAGAGGCAGGTCCTGTCAGACCAACCTTGTTGTCTTCCATGACCAGGTCACAAAATCCCTGGACACAGTTGTTGCAGTGGACTTAGCCTTTCTGGATTTTAGGAAGACCTTCAACACTGTCTTTCACCCCATTCTCGTTAAAAAATTAGGAGATTGTGGTGTCGATGCCTACACAGTCAGATGGGTGGCCAGTTGGCTGGAGGGCCACACAGAGAGTGGTGGTGGACCGGTCATTTTCAACCTGGAGGGATGTGGGCAGTGGGGTCCCCCTGGGCTCGGGCCTGCACTGTTCAACATCTTCATTAACAACTTGGATGAGGGGGTGAAAAGCACCTTGTTCAAATTCGCAGATGACACTAAGATGTGGGGGGAAGTGGACATGCTAAAAGGGAGGGACAGGCTGCAATTGGATCTGAACAGGTCACAGGGGTGTGCGGATGAGAATAAGATGGGATTCAATACTGACAAGTACAGGGTACTGCACCTAGGGAGAAAGAACCAGCAGCATACCTATAGGCTGGGGAACTCCCTTCTCGTCAGCACAGAGGCAGAAAAAGATCTTGGAGTCAATATAGACGCCAAGATGAACATGGGCCACCAATGTGGGGACGCGGTCAGGAAGGCTAACCGCATTTTGTTATTTACCCACAGGTGCATCACAAGCAGGTCCAAGGAGGTGATCCTCCCCCTCTATGTGACATTGGTCAGGCCGCAGCTGGAGTACTGCATCCAGTTCAGAGTGCTGGACTTCAGGAAGGATGTGGCCGGCATTGAGAGGGTCCAGAGAAGGGCCACTCGCATGATCAGGGATCAGCGGGGCAGGCCCTAAGAGGAGAGGCTACGAGACCTGAACCTGTTCAGCCTCCACAAGAGAAGGCTGAGAGGAGATCTGGTGGCTGTCTATAAACTGGCCACGGGAGACCAGCAGGCACTGGGAGAGTCCCTGTTCCCCCAAGCACTACTGGGAATAACAAGGAATAACGGCCATAAGTTGACGGAGAGTAGATTCAGGCTAGATATCAGGAGGCGCTGCTTCACAGTCAGGGAGGCTAGGATCTGGAACCAACTTCCAAGGGAAGTGGTGCTCACTCCTACCCTGGGGGTCTTTAAAAGGAGGCTAGATAGACACTTTGCTGGGATCATTTGACCCCAGCATTCTTTCCTGCCCATGGCAGGGAGTTGGACTTGATGATCTGTTCAAGTCCCTTTTGACCCTACCAGCTATGAAACTATGAACTATGAAACTATAAGACCATTGAGGGTTTTTTGCTGCCCTCCACAGTGCAGAGGTGAGGTCCACTTCCTAAAATCATGTGGACATATTTTATTTGTCAAATTCCACACCCTTGTAGGGACTTAAGGCTTGGGTAGAGCTCTTGGTCTTTCCTACTCTCTTCCTGTGACACACAATAATTTTTTGATGCCTTCATGGGATTTTTTGGTTTTTGTTCTAGAGATCTTAGGTTTGTTACAGACTGTCTATGGCCTGATGAGGATGGGGGTACATGGGGAACAACACCAGAGTGGATATTCTTATAGATCCCTTGGACTTTGTGTTAACGACACAGTTGTCTGATCTTGCACAAGACTGCACTTAAGCAGCTCCTTCCAGTTCTCTGCTCCAAGCTTAGTGTCTCTTTGTAAAGTTGATCTGACTGACAGAATTTAAGCGCAACACCCCGGTTATGTTATAAATCAGCAAACACGCTGTAATTTTGTTTTATTCTAATTGAAGGCTATTTACTTCTATTTAAATTTTCTGCCGGTGTTTCTACAACCAACACTGCCACTTGGCGGCTATTTCATGAAAGCCAAAAAAGATTCTGTAACATGGGGCACAGCTCTTTCCCTAAGATCTTCTGAGCATTAATTAACTACCTACTTCCCCACTGTCATACTGGCAGCAGCCCTCATCTCCTCTGCTTTTACCTATGGCATGTTATAGGTCAGTCTTGATATTGTTGGTAGTGTGCTCTGTGTAAGGGTTTGAAGCTGTGACTTGAGGGATTCCTTGGGAACACTACTGCCTGCAAATCAAGGGGACTGGACTCAGTGGCTAAGGAGGCCTCTTGTGATGCTGAGTTTCTATAAAAACTAAAGAGTAACTCTTCACCCTCCCACACTGCCAGCCTCCCATTTCAAAGCTAAGTGCAGTCACAAAGGTGGGGAGGAGGGGGAGGAAAAGTGAACACTTATAGTGAAGGTTAAATTGGAGTTTAAAACTTAGGACTTTTTCAGAACAATAGCTATTGTTGCTTTTCAGTTCCAAATAGGTCTCAGCAGAGTCTTTATAGAATTGTTCTTCCACAACTGCACAGAAGAAAGACTTACTGGAATATTGTCACAAATGCAGTAATTCTCCAGCTCCAGCGCCAGCCATACCGGATGAAACCCCTGAGTCCAGCAGTCTGTGCTGATTGCTGAGACAGAAAAAAGAGAGAATGTGTTACAAGTCTCACTCTCCTAAAAAATGCTGAATGTAGCAATATTAACGAACACCACAATGATAGTGAACTTGCTTTGCACTGTATTGAAGACCAGATTTTTTAAAAAGAATTAAGCATGCACAATATGCAGCTAACCAAACTTCTCAGGCACACAGTTACTACAGATGTTTAAGACACATCCTATTTATACAAATACATCAAATACTTTGGTACTCTTGCACATGAAATTGCAGCAAATGTCTGAATATTAAGTGTACAGTTACACATACACTATACAGATTTTTTTCTCAAGCCTAACACCCCTCCCCCACAACTTAACCTGAAAGTCTGATCACTAATAGGAACTGATGTTTAAGGTTTACTCGGGACCATACACTGTTTTATTGGCTCTTACAACTGTAATACTAATTTATATTTTTCTTAGTAAGTAGTATTTTGAAGATCTAACATTTTGCCCCAACACAGCAGGCCAGCATGTCCCTTGAAAAAGTTAGGGGTTGGCTCCTGATCAGGCCAACAGGTCCTAAAGCTCTTGATAAAACCCCAGGTCAGTAGCTTATATCCTGCACATTTTCTTTAGAGGGGGCTTATCTACATGGGTAAGCTAGCACAGATTTACACTGGCTCCTCCTATGGACATTCTTACTGCATGTGTGGACTTGTTTCACTTTATAAGGCTGAACAGGCTACTTTGCACAAAGGCATCTTGTACACACACAGTGTATTTATAGGGACCAGTACAGAGCAGCTAGTACATTCAATCCCTATTTAATGCTCTTAATGGGATCCTGAAAAACCGAGCGTTAAATGAAATTAGCATTAAGGGAAACCGAAAGTTTTTGATGAACCACGATAGTGACCGTGAGCATTATAATGAAACCCGCTGAGCGCTAAGTGGAATGAGGTATGAATGTAAAATAAGCATTATAGTGAAATAGCACTAAGCGGAAACAGCGTTTAACAGGGGTTGCCTGTACACTGCAAATCCATACCCTAACTTTCCTATGCAGACACCCCCCATTTTGTTTCTAAGTCTGTATCCACAAAAAGAAGTGAATGAGCATGAACAGACTCATGCTCCTTAGGAGTGTATCTGGCAAGTCTGCACCTATAACATTGTGTACAGGAGGCAGATTAACACAAGTAAAAACCTAAGTGTTATGGGACCCTCTGGAAGACAGGACCCTCTTTGAAACGGGGTTTGGCAAGAAGTGAAGTAGAAGCTTCTAGATGAATCCAGGGATACATCTATGATCAGTTAGGTGCATGAGTTCCAATCTCGGCCAGAGCTAGGGGTGTAACATGCAGAACTAGGGCCCTGGACAATCCCTGCTGGGAGGAGATGGGGAGTGGCTTTGAGAGCTGGGGGAGGGAGAGCAGTCTTACCCGTGCCAGGAACTCCTAAGCAGCCCCTGGTGTTCTGCCCACCTTGGCTGTTGCTCCTGAGGTGGCAATTATGGCAGCAGCAGTAAGCAGGTACCATTTTGGAGCTTGTAGAATGGTGAGACGGCCAGGGCATGGACTCTGTGGGGTAGGGGCGACTCTGGTGCTCCTGTGAACTTAGCGCCCAGGATGGGTGCCCCTTTTGCCCTCCCAATCACAGTGCTGCCTGAAGCAAACCTCTGCCCGCTCCTCGAGAGCAGCACCCCGCACAAGCTCTCAAGTTCCCCAGCCACTGGGGAGAAGTGGGAAAGGCATTGGCAGGGGGCTCTGGCCACCTGCTTCCACAGGAACATACCACGGCATCCAGGCGGCTGTAGAAGATATCCCCTTGGGTGCGCTCCACAAACTGCTGCTTGGCCTGCCAAAAGGCAGGCATGCCACCGTAGATCAAGCCCACCACCATGGCTGAGAAGGCGCTTTTGACGATGTCCATTGTCTCATCAGATATGCGGCCCAACTCGCTGCCAAAACACCACCAGGGCTTAGAGTCGAGGCCCACCCTGGCTGCCCTGCCCCCTCCACACCTCCCAGCTAGGCCTCAAAGCCCCCCCCTCCCTGCTTGAAT